CTGATTCTTAGGACTTTTATTCACTTTAAAAAGCAGAGAAGGATGGTAACAATTAATTTTTGTTTGCTGACTGGAAGAAATAATGCTTTACAAAAAATGTTTTAGGAACAGCGTATCCCTAAGCTGATATGCAGGATCAGAAAGATTCAGAACAAACTTGTCACGTACCTTGTAGCAGCTGAGCAGATGAGCTTCAGACTCCCATCCAAAATAGCAGGAACTCAAATGTTTTTGAAAAGTAAGTTCAGGTTCTTCATAAGAATTGACTTTTTGCTTGCACAATGACATTGCTTTGAAGTTCTCACAGCTTTTCACCTCCCAGTAACCAATGGGCTGTTCTCCTCGCATAGCCACACATCCTCCAGAACGGCCTAGACATGAGAATAAGTGTTGAATCTCAGAATAAAGCATTTGAATTCTGTGAATGTTTGGTGAAGTAACTGTTTTGTTGACATCAGGATCCGCATAAATCCTCAAAGAACTTAGAAAAGTACCAAATGGTTTCATCAACAACCAGTTTTTATGCCTGTCTTTGCTGACGGATTTGTAAATGAACCATGATGAAGAGTTTCGCTCACAAAATGTAAGCCACTGGCGACAGGGGAAAGGGAGCCCACTGCCCCCCTCCTAGCCATTTCTTTTATTATCGGCATGTTACTCACGTGGCTGGTACTTGTTCCAGTTTGTGTAGCTCACGGAGTGATTCCTTCCTGCTGTACTCAGCCAAAAGTACTCTCCTGTGTTGTTAAGGTCTTGCAAGCCTGTCCAAAAATAAGTTCTCTCAGATTTTGTGATGCTCTGGATCATGCTGTTGATAAAAGCTTGTTCAAACCTTAATAAAATAATCAAGACAAAAAGTTTATTAGAATACAATGGATCAGTTGGTATTTCAGTGAACAGCTCTCGTGAAATGACATAAATTATGCGAGAAAAGAAAAAATATAAGAGGTGCTTAATTTTCACTATAGGATGCTGCAGGGAACTTCAGTCACAAGTCTGCAGCATAAATCACAATTTTTCCTGATTTTTTTTTTCCAGTATTTGGGCACATAAAAGAAACAGTAGATTAAGATACTATAAGCTCACTGCTTAAACTACAAGATGTAAAGAAAGAATGTATTAATGATGCACAAATAAAAACAAGAAGCTCCCTGTATGAAGGAAAATAGATGGCAGAGTCTAAAAAAGCTACAGAAGAAAATAAAGAAAAAGCTCTGCACAGAAGAATCCTATTGGACCCAGACACACAAACCAGCAGTAAGAAACCAGAGCTGAAGGACTCAAAGCACAAGCTGATCTGACTATAGAAAGAATCACTTTTTCGTTCTTTAATTTCTTCATTAAAATTATGTGAGAGATTTACACCTTTTTGCTAGTAGGAATTTTTGCATATAGTACCCATTTATCACTTAAGCATAATTTATTCATATATAATTGGTATAGCATTATACAAAAATGCTTTACCTTATGAGCACATTTAATCAGGTTCCCATGAAAATGTATAAAGTAAATTCCCAGTTTGATAAAGCGTATACAACCTTCTGATTTCCCACATCGTGAAAAGAATGGCTAAATACCATAAGGATGCCAGTAATGTAAAAACCCGAATGTGTAACACTAGGAGTGACTAAAAACTTTTATTATTTTTATTTCCTCTGTGTGTTCTTTTTTTTTTGTATCAACTGTTCTTCTTCTGCAACCTACTTTATAGTGAATATCTTAGGATCGATGGATTCATACATGTAAGAGTTTTTGCATTTTACACAACAGAGAACAAGCCTCAGCATTAATTAAAAAAAGAGAGCTAAACTAACAACTAGCTTCCTGTGCCACTGCAACGTTGGAACTGGGAACGAACATCATGACCAGTGATGGCTACACTCAGAAAAAAAAAATCAAGTAAAAAGAAATAAGCAGAAAAAGACAAAAGATGTGCTTCCAGTGATGGGGAGTGTGCCCCCAGCTCCCTGTGACATCTGAGCTGCAAATGCTCAGCTGTGAGAATCTGTTCTTTGTCCTTTTTATCCTATTATTGTCATACCACAGTACAGCGCTGTTTGCATTGTGCACTATCCTGAAACCACTTGGCAGGCCCAGTTCCCAGCATAAATCCTTCTGTGGGATAGCCTGTGTTTGCTTGAAATTTCTAGCTATCATTCACCTGATTGCTGGTGGTTACATACTTCCCACATCCTAAATGGGGGGAGATTTCCTCCTCCTTTTTTATGTGGATATTAAAGCATGTATGTAATATACCTATCACTATGTCCTAAATTTTAATGGAAATCCAACATACAGGGTAAATCACAAAGAGAGCAGAGAAAACACAAGCATCTGGACATTTGCAGAGGAGAAAGCCTTTGCTGAAGCTACAATACAGGTAAATAGGACAAAGCAAGGGAGGACAAACCTCAGATGCTTTCAAATATTTACTCTCTCCCCCTAGTTTCTGCATAAAATGCATACACCAATAGAAACATTTATAAAACATTAATTTAGATTAAAATTTTATGTATTTTGGTTATAAAAATCAAATATATTTTAATTTTTCAGTGTCTTTTCCAAGTGCAGTGGTAACATTTCTTAAAGATATGTAATATCTCTGTAGAAAGCATTTTGCTTAGATTCCTGCAAGCTCACGTGTGCATATTGTTACAAATGTTTATTAGCCTAACAGTTGCTTTTTATTAAATTTATTTTCAATTAAACAATAAAGCAAAGCGCAGTTTTGATTTTAGCCAGAGTTAGTAATTATGCTTGCCTCTCACACAAATATTATTTCATACCAGTAATATCTTTTGCCATGCAATACTTTATAAAGTTAGAGTAGGTCTTGTTAGAGGTATCTTCTGTCAATCAGGATTAACTACCTGTTTGTTACTGATACAAGTGCAGATGGGCAGAAATAACCACTGGAAGCATGTTCAAAACTTCGAGGGGTACTGTCGATTTTGTAACAATATCCACCATGTCTTTCCCATCCCTTAAAAGAAATGAACATTATTTTATAGATTATTAATTATTATATGGTTGTTAAAAGCTTGATCCTCTTTTGTACTTTCTGTCTGATCATCACTGACATCCCTATGGACCGTTTCCTTTCTGCTGTGGTTCAAGAGTAGTTACTCTCAAGGTCACTGAAAACGTGGGTAAAGAAAGACTATATTAATGATGCACAAATAAAAACAAGAAACTCCCTGTATGAAGGAGTAAAGATGGCAGTCTGAAAAAACCACTAAATTTTAAATCCCTATACTGTGCAGAAACTGGCTTAACACACGTGTGGTAACATCTTTAAGGGGTATAACAAAAACATGGGCAACAGTTAAGGCACTCCCCCATATACTGCTTTTTTTTCCATTTTATACTTTGTTTCATTGATTGATTTTGGGGAGATACACCAGGTCCATCAGCACACCATCTCTTTGCATGAAGTGTGTAGGAGCACTTGTTGTTTTCCACCTGTGGTAACTCCTTGCTGATACCTAATATCTGAAGTGCAGCGTAAACACTGCCATGTCAGATTCAGTTAAGTTCTTTTACAAAAGGAATATAGCTGTCCTTTGTCTTCAACTGTAAACCAGAAATATTTATTCCAGAAATTGCTGTCTTTCATACAGCAAGGCACACTAGTTATTTACCTTTACTCAGCTCCCTTTCTCATTTTCAATAAGAACTTAAAAATTACATAATTTACAATCATCCTACTTCAATAATGCATAATTAAAATTACACATTTTCATGGATGATCAAATAAGCCAGAACACTGGAGTCAGTAGTCAGCCTGCCTCATTTCTTCTTATTATTAGTCTTTTATTTCTTATAATTCATCTTTCTGTGTCCAGAAGATGCTACCAGGACTGGTGTGAGTTCTGCCTGTGTGAGTTCATGCAGCATATCTGCCTGGTCTTCCTGCTTGAATATTTTAAATAATCAAGACAATAAAGAGGTAAGAAACCATGTCTGTCCAATCTATCTTGAAGCCACACATAGACAGGGGAGCCAGACAATCCCACTTTGCCTCTTCAGAGAGGGAGGTACTACTTGTAGGGGCAAGCAGCACAACAGGGAGCAAGCACAGCACCCAGATGGATACCATCAAACACTGCTTGCTGGTAACATTAACCGCAAAAGGAGAAAAAAGGTGAAACAGACAAGCTCTTTTTCTGCTATCCATCCTTAGGTACAATAAAATGCACAAGAAGATGCTGCAGACCTTTTCAGGGCAGCAATCAAACATGATGCACATCCTTCAGCCCTGCTGAATCTGGAGAGGCAAATTTCAGCTGCTAGTTAGGAGTGTGTTTGCTGTCAGGGTAGCTGACAGCTCTGCTGCCTTTTACTATTATCCACTTCAGTGCTTGGAAGATGGCTGGGCACAAAATCAAAATGAACTGTGGTTTCACCTGAACAACACGTTTGCATTGCTCAGACACTGGCTTTACAAACAGAAATAAACAACCAGGTGGAAGCTCTTCCCTATCTCTGTACCAATGAGCTGGGACCTCCCCATGGGAAAAATGTGCTGGCAGGTGCCAAGGGCTATTGCACCCTTGAGACTCAGTGGGCTCTCGGCTCTCCCATGATGTCAGGGACAGCAACGCTGCTTTCGCTTTTACATGCACCTAAACTTAGGGAGTGGGGGCTGGAAGAAAGCTAAGTATTGACTAAAATACCCTCTATGGTGATGCAGGTAAGAAACAGCAAATGCCTGGTTTCCTTCAACTGGAACTCTTGAGTGATAAATGCACTGGTTCAAACAAGGCAAACACAATCACCCTATCAGAAATCTTAATCTGGTGCAAATGGCACTGCATAACCTTCCTCTTAAAGTTTTCTTGGTGTCTAGAGACTAGAGGAAAGTAATTTGACACTAATCTTTACTTTAAAAATACTAACAAAATTGTGGAGTAATTGAAGGCTGGTAAACTTGTATTAAGGGCAAGCAGAGATTAAGAAATTCCAAACTGAAAAGGCTGAGTAACTGGTCAATGAAACAGCAGACAGCATTCTGTACATATAAATATGTAGCGCTGCACATGGGGACTACCCCTGCACTCCCAAATCATTTAATGTATGAAGAGAGGGACAGCTATCTCACTCCCACCATGCAGGAGTGAGATTTGGCAGTTATGATGGTTAAGTTCCATGAACACCACTTTAGTCAAAAAGTCAAACTGAATCTTAAGAATTGTGAGAAGAGAAAGAACAGAGAAGGTTACTCTCTCACTTTTTGCCAATTTTGCACTCTGAACTCCAACCTCAGAAAAGGATATTAGAAAATCTGGGCATCAAGGATGATGAAATGCATGGAGCTGCTTCCATGTAAGTAGTAACTGCACAGGCTGAGACTTCTCAGCCTGGGAAAAGGAGATGCCATAGGGAGAGTAGACTAGACATAGTTCTACAAAATGGTGAGTGCCATGAAGGTGGGCAGCTACTTCAGTACAAGACTTTGGGGACATCAAACAAAGCTAAGCTAGCAGGAGGAAGGTTCAACATGGAAAGAAGGTGGCATTTTTTCATTCAAAGAGAGATTTATAGATGTTCTTCACTAAGTAATGTTGTGAATGCTAAAAGTTAGCATGAATTCCAGGTGAAACTTGACAAGCACTTGCAGGAAATACCCAATGTGGGCTGTTAGATACACAAATCTTAAAAGGCTCAGGAAATCCCTTGAATGGTTAGGTATCAAGATAAAACTGGGAGAAGTATTACCTGTATTTGTCCTCTACTGCCCTTCCCCAAACATCACTTGCAGCCACCTGTGGGAGGCAGAACATGAGGCCAAATGGACCCTTATTCTGAGCAGCTGCCCTTCTGCTCTTTGCAAGGCTTTGTAGCCTTAATAGCAATTCTTTTCTTAAAAGTACAATTCTCTCCCATTACAAGAGCCATAAAGACAGATGCTTGATTCAGTACTATACTGTTATCTTTTGATGCACTAATTAAAGTGTAGAGGACTGGAGAAAATCACCATTACAAACACAGTCAAGTTCTACACACAGAAACTTCCAACTTGATTATCAAGTAGCTAACAGCTTCACAACTTGTTTCAAAAGGTGGTTGAAAGAAAATGTTTAAAGCTGTTATTTCAGTGTTGGGGAAAACTGCCCAGAGAACCTGACCTTTGCAATAAAATATTTCTTCTCAGTAGTAGCCTGCTCACTAAAAAGAATAGTTGACCTGCTAAGGGAAGAAAGCGCTAAGCACTTTTTATGTCTTAGGATGACAGAAGAGTAAGGAAAAAAAAAGAAGGCTCAGGTTTCTGGTAACTTGATATGGACATTATGCAAAAACTGCAGTCAGCAGAACCACAGAAAACGTTAAAGGGTAGTTCATCTGATGCACAAGTCATAAAATCGACATGAGATGAAAGCTCAGTAATAACACATAAGACTATAAAGCTTTAGAAAAGCAAACAACTGTGCTGGAGGCCAAAGCTCCCTGAGAGCCTACTAGCAATCCAACACGAATGACAGTACGAGGTTAACAAAGCAAAAGATCAAATGTGAGAAAAATAGATACTGTGTACATTTAAGGTAAGGCAGCCACAAAAAATATGGGAGGAAAAGAGGTAAATCTGGATAAAATAAAGACTTAGGCTGGGAAAATTAGGCCAATAACTAACAACAACAGATACACTGAATGGTAAAAGAAAGTGAGCAAAGACAAAATGTCTGAAATCAAATGTAGCTTTGAGTAAGCTTAGTACTGACTTCTTCTGATTAATGAATATAACTTTTCACATTAGAAAGAAAAGGATCTATTGAAACCAAGGGACTATAACAGGATTCAGCAAATATTTTTACAGAGTGTGAAGCATCAACAAGCAGACATTTATCCTGAGTTGGTTTGCCAGAGCAGACCAAACTACCTATGACTCAGCTCTTGAGTCTCAATCCTGTGAGGTACCAGAAGTTCAAGTGTTGTTAAGCTCCTGACTACAACTGCAAATCTTAATCCTCTGCACATTTTTCACATGGTCAGGACTGCGACAAAACTTTTTTACGCTAATAACACACAGCATTCATGAGTGATGGAATACATTGGTCCAAATGAATTGAAGACAGTTACACTAAACTCTTGGACATGTTATGTTAGAACCAAGCAGTAACTTCTGCCTCCGTAACAGCATGACCAGACGGTGGATCTGATCACAGTACATCTGGAGAAAGGCTGCACCCAACTCCAAACAGTTTAGCTTCAACCTTCTTACAATTCAACTGAACTGCTTGGGTTTCTTGATTTCTCAAGAAAAAGAACAGGAAATTAAAAAAGGAAGACACTGAGCTGGAGAGTAAAGCAAGTTAGAGATATTTTTGTTGACAGAAGAGGAGGTTCACAAAACTCCTCCAGACTTTTGAATAAAATACGAAGTCTCCAAGTTTGCTCTTTTCACAATGTGAAAAGGAATCGATGGCAAACAAAATCATACTTCAACACATTACCTTTTACTACCAGAATGCAGAGCCTAAAAGCCTGAAAAACTGCTGCAATGTCCTATTTAGATAGCTGTGCTCCTTCCTATTTGTGTTCGAATGCAAAAGGAATGCTAATGTACGAGTGGAAAAGTTCACTCTCCATGTCAATGAAAGTGATTGTTTTTCACCCAGACATTCCATTTCAATGTATGAAAACCATGTGTGGGATAAGGCATCATATAACAGCTATTATTTGCACAGATGGTGGACCAAAGGGTTTTCACTTTTGATCTAGAAAGAAATAGGAACTTGGGTCACAACTGCTAACAATGCAACAAGCCATGAAAGGCATCTTGAGAAAGCTTTTAATCTTACATTAAAATTTAGTTTAGATGCTTTTAAGATAAACAGTGAGATTTTTTCCTAGCAAAACATGCATGTCTTTAGTATGAAAAACTAAAATATGTTTGGTAGCTACATTTAGAGGCTTCCTATAGAATTCTACTTTATTAAAAAGGCTTTAAAACAAACAAAACCCACAAAACCCCTTACCTCTGGACAACTGGATTCCAGCTCAGGAGAGACAATATTAAATTCCCCTGCTTTTTTGCAAATGTAGAAAGATCTGTCTTCACATTTTTTAATCTTCCAACGTCCCTCCTAAGGAATAAAAAGAAGTGTATTCTGTACATACTCATACTGTCATGCGTATCTATACACGCAGTAGATTACACTTCCTCCTCCTATTTTAACTTTTCGGTAAAACCAAGTAATTTTTCTCACTCCATTTATTTATCCTTAGTTAGATCATTTGTTACTATCAACACTGTCAGCAGGACTTTGCAAATCAATCATATCTCTTTGAATAACTATTTGGGATGTAATTCATCTTAATTAACTAACACTACAGCCATGTCAGAGCATTTTCCAGAATAGATAGGAACTTTCTTCCTATCTATTTTAGTTCTTTGTAAGATTAATCTTTATATTTGAACAGCTGTTACGCAAAATATTACAAAGGTTGTATGATATAATGTTCAAATATCTATACATACTGCACATGTATCAAAAATGCTTGAAGAATTTTATCTCAAACTTCCTTTTCCTCCGTATTTTACATTTTCATTTGTTTATACTTGCAAGCTGAGTAAGATATGGTTTTGTGCATCTGAACCCCACAATTTTACTGCTTCCAATAGGAACCCACTTTTCCAGGTCACTGTAATTGTCTTGGCTTTCCCATGAGTTTAAGATTGCAATATGAACCCACTACTAGACAAATAACAGAAACTTTTTTCGATACAGTTTTCACACACAAAACATACTTTAAAAAAAGAATAAGGGATTATAGTGCTACTTACATAAGTCAGGTATTAGTGAACTTAAGTACTGTAATTGTAAAATTAAAGTAAATTTATGACCAAGTTATTAAAAAAAATCCCAACAGGGCCACGAATACCAATAGACAGGACATAGCATCATCTGAACATTACTCATACTTTTACAACACCTGACCGATTTGGGGTCAGTCTTACTGCTGTCAATTTCTGTAATTTTATGTAGGTTTAGGCTACTGTCTGTTTTTGAAAGATGCTATGTAAAATTTATTGACAGGAAGATAAAATAGACACAGTTAACAGTTTTTCAAAACATGAATTTGAAGCTTTCAAGGCAGGAACTGATGGATCATAAATTATGACATACACTACTTGGATTTTAAATTACTTTGTCTTTATTAAAATACCTGCTCGTATTTGTTCTCTTCCATTTGGCTTTATGTTTGTAACATTTTTATTGAACATAAGCTCAAAATCTATGACTAGTTTTCTGTGCATCAGCACTGCAAACCGTATTAGTTTCTAAAGGCTACACTGCATTTATCACAACATAAACATATTAGGACTCAAAAACCAGTCATAATAAGGGTGAGGGTTTAAAAAAATATGCACAGTGGAAAATAAATTATCATAAGCTAAAAGTGTTTGTCTCATTCTTTCAAAAAGAAAAGAAAACTTACAGGTACTTGTGCTGTAACACAGAGTTGTCCTGTTCTTTGAAAGGTGTTAGGTTCTTGGCTGTGCCAGTTAGAGAATTTTACTGGGGTGCTATCTAACCACTCAAAAACAGCAGAAGCGTTCTTACTGTATAACCCAATCCATGTTTCAGTTACATTTTCTGTAAAAGAATAAGTGAGTTCAGATTTTAACGGTGAAGAAATAATGCCTTTTGCTCCTGTAACATCAACACCACCATTAAAAATTATTAATGGAATTCTCATAAGAATTACCTTCTTTCAGTGGGGGGAGAGCTGTATAAACCTTAAGAAAACTTACTGCTGAGATAATGTTCTACTGCCCTTGAAGACTAAATTGTTGCAAAAATAGATCAACATACACGACAATACGCTCTGAAATCCTGAAAAATACAAATCAAGAGCACATGCACTTTTCTGAAATGCATGTAGCAGAAAGCCTGGCATGGATGGGAAAGACTTCCTATAATCTTTCATGGCATACTCAGCTTTAAGTTTCTCTGAGTGCTTGTGAGTTCCAGTGACAGCACAGTTGTAGCCACAGCGGCTGGCAAACAGGAAAGGCAGGGCTTGTGGTTTGTTCTAATGTCTTACTTGACCAGCTACTACAGCCAGAAAAAGCAGACAGGCTTTCAAGCATGTAAGCCCTTCTCCTGAAGTAGGGCTGAAATAGAAGCAGCAAGCTTTGAAGCTGAATACAAGGTGAGAACAATTACATCTATCCACTACAGCATCTCTGGAAATGATGGCATTTGGTATCTATGGAGGGTATTAATACAAACGAGGAAGATGATGCAGTGGTTAATCTCCTAAGACAGACAGGGCAGCAAAGAGGATAGGAGGTGGCAGGGATGATAATGGAAGATGATGTCCAGTAAACCCAGGGTAACACACCATCCTTCAACCATAGCTGATGGGACAGGATGATAAAACATGTCACTGTGCCCCGGCTCCTGGAAGCTTAAACTCTGGCCAAACTGTGCAGCTCTGCCAGCACACTGATGTCAGCTGCAGGCACAAAGTACTCACTTTTCTTTGCTGCTGTTATGACAACAAAGGTCTTGGCGCTGCTGCAAAGAGCTTTTGTTCATTAAGTTCCTTGTTTAATTATGCTACCTCTTAGGACAATGTGGACTAGCAGGACTCCTTTGATACACCCTGCTGCCATCAAAAGGGATTCTGCCAACATACCAGCAGCAGCAACTCTGCAGTGTGGACAAGGCCAGCTTGAAAGCAAAAGATACTCTGAATTGCTTGTAGCTTCTAAGTAGAATTCTTGCATAAGGATAATCACCGAATATTTTGCAACAGTTTTGCAAGGAACCAGCCAAGAACAGGAAAGAACAAAAGCTAGCTTGTTTACTGTAGCCTCACTGTGGTTACTTTGTTGATTAGTTTCTTTATTTTAAGTATGGTTGTTAGAGAAGGTGATGCTATGTATTTTTAAGACTCCTGGAAGGAGTAGGAATCATGTTTACCTTTGAGAAACATCATTTGGGTGAGCCATGTAATACAGTGCTTAAGTGGGTAACAATGCTAAAGGGCTGCACAAAAGAGCATCACAAAACACATCAAGAAACATTGCGTGCTTTAAACTAACTCCCAAAACTCACCACTTTCAAGCAAGTTAAGAAGCAGCTCTGCATCTGCCATGGAGGATATGCTAATGAGCCCACTACTGTCACTCTGGCATGAGACAGAAGCATCATCCCAGCTCTTCTCCTCTTCATGCAGTCTGTAGCAGTTGCGATTGTGTGGGTACCAGCCAGCATCACAACGAGTGCCATAATACTTCCATGTATCTTTTAATTAAGCATACAAAGTTTGTGTATATTAAGATAGAGTTACTAAGGTTATACTATATTCATAACACATTCAGAGCTACTTTCTTTATCTTCATATACTGAAAAGGGAGTTGACCAAGATGACTTAAGAAGGCCAAAACACACGCTCTATGGAACATCACATACCAAACAAACTGAAATTACTCCCACTTTATTTTATGATTCAACCATTTTGGCTGCTGGACGGACTAGTGCAAACACACTAATGAATCTGTTAGTCAATTTAAAATAGGTTGTGTCTCCCTTATTACCTCTGAACCTGATTCAAAGCCAGCTAAAGCTTTTTCAGATGCACTACCTACAAAAAGTTTGGGTAAGTCCTTTACCTGAAACAGTAGGGAAACTTCTAAGTTATCAGGAAGAAGCTGAACCTACATAAGCTGTTCTTATCAAAACAAAAATTAATCTTTGAATAAATTCAATTCTAAGTTTAACTTTCCCACAGAATGTGAGTCTGAAGCATTCTATGTACTATCTAGCCTACATTCACTATATTAACACTAAAAACCATATATGCACAGTGCTTTTTGTACATCAGAAGTACAGCATGCCACAAAAATAGCTGCAAATTTTGTGCTGCATTTATACAACTTTATTCACTGTGGGCTACTGGTTAATTCCATTCAAAGCTGAAAACCTGCTTTTAAACTCAAAAGCGTGGCTTTATTGTAATATAAAGAGAATGAGTATTGTGTAAGCCTCTGATCATGTCAAGAACCAATTAAATGCTATTTATAATGAAATTACTTGTTAGCTTTAAGACTCTCAACATGTTTTCCAGGACTGCATTTAAGCAGAAGTGTTATTGCATCACTTGAAGTAAACTGCATTCAACTTAAAACTTGCAAACCTGTACATTTAGTCCAGCTAAGACTCTGTTCTGCTGACTTTATAGTCACGTGGCTTTCTCTTGTTCTCCTTCCACACCCACAAACAGGACAGAGTAATACCAAAAGACTTACCCAATGCTTCATGCTCTGTCTTATTTAAGTATTTTTTGCATACAAAAGGCAATCCAGATTCACATAAATAACTTTGCCAGCCATACGTCAATTTTGTGTTAATCACTGCACAATGATTTTCTCTAAACCGGCTATCAGAGACATCTGCAAACACATTTTTGAGAAGCACAAAATTACAAAAAATCAGTTCTTGCAAAATGGTGTTGTAAGGTGCTCTGCATCTTACTGAATGAATGTATAAGCATCTCTGCACACCCAAACACCAGTACTATCAACAGCTGAACACTGACCATGAGTTACACGTGTAGCAATTCCTCCTTGGTTGCTGCTATCAGATGAGAGGCTGAAATAAGCTCTAGTGTCTATCTGTACCTGCTCGTGGGCAGACTTAAAATGTAGCAAACCAAGCTACAAAGCTCATGTTAATGTGCTTTGTTAATGCAAACAAATTCAAACTCCTTTTTTTCCATTAAACTGGCTAGATCATATGCATATTTTTTATATGATATATATATTATTATGATGTAATAACATGTTATTATATGCATATGTTTTAAATATGCAACTGGAATCTTAAATATGCCTTTAAAGGGAAACAGCAAAAGGGCTAGATGATTAATGCTTTGAACAGATAATTTCAATTGATGCTACGTCTCTAGAAGGAGCTTTTAGTTCATGAATATGAATAAATATTTCTACCAAAAAAAGGAAGTACACTTGTTCATTTGATTCACTTTTCAAACACAGCTATAGGAACAGCAGTCTTGTATCAAGCAGCAGTTACAGACAGCAAATAATTACACCGCTATAACATATCCAAGAGGAACATCAAGTACTTGCTCTCCAGTTCACAAACACTAGTGGTGCTCCATCTGACCACTGCCAGCCAGCATCTTCCTCCAGGTGATTTAGGCCTGTCCACAGCATCATGTCTGTGACATTTAACTGCCCTGAAACAGAAAAAATAAAGTAACACTTCACAGTTTCCCCATGTTTTAAAATATCTACAGGTATAGATCTGCTGTCCTGACTTACTACAGTGGGGATAAAACAAAACTTCGAATCTGTCTCCAGAAAGTTCAGGCTGTTTTCTCTGTCCTTAGAAAACATTTATTTATTACTTTGTTAATCAACACAGATGAAAACGAATAAACTCAGAAGTCTGCATCCTTCAAAAGCTACTCATCCTGCAAATCTTTCCTGCAGAAGTTGTTGACAACCTTAGAAGTTAACCTAGAACAAGCAGCTACATAAATGCTAGCCTGTTTCAGCTTTCCATAAACCATGTTCAGTCCCATTGCAGCCTAGAGGCATATCAAACAGCTGATGAAATAATTGTAAAAACTTCCTGTTGGCTTATATCCTGCAATTGAAAATCAGCAATAATGGGAAGCAGTGAGAAAGAAACCTGAGGCGGCCTTTTGCACCACAGCTCTCCCACCCATTCCTCCACTTGGTCCTCTCCATGCATGCTAAAATACCCGCAGAAGCCATGCTGTCACAAGGCTCCACGAAATTTGTCTGAGATGCTTGCTATATAAGGGAAAGCAAAATGCCTATCAGAGAAGGAATCCCATCCATTTATGAAGAAAGAGCTGCCATTTTTCCCCATACAGGACATGTACTTCAAGCCTGCAAAATGTTCTTGTCATTCACATTTGCAAGATAATTTATTTTCTTGCAAAGAAAGCTTAACAGGAGAAAGGGACATGAGGGTCCATTATGGAGAAGGTAAATACTTGTATAATTCTCCAAAGAAAACAAACACACTCCATAACCACAGCTGCAAGAATGAATGGGAGTCTCTGTAGGGAGGGAGGATTAAGACAATTACACCCCCATGTAACACAAACCACCACTTCTGCACTTAGGTTGTTACAATGGTAACTTAACCTTTACCCTTGCTTTTTCAAACACCTTTATTGAGGTGCATTATGTGCCGAAGCCTCACAAGCAGCAATGGGAGAGATATCACACAGAGTATTAAGCTCCAATGATTACTCCTTTTTCACAGGTAAAGAGGAAATCTAACTACATCTCTGGTTACTACAAGGTCCGCAGAAAAATGTCTACTCACTGCTTAAGTTACTTATGTAGTTCTGCTCTTCAGGGCTGGTGACACTCAGCAGGTCTCCTCCTTGCAGCTGACAGACAGCTCTTGCCTCACGCCAGGTCAGCACAGATGCAAGGTTGAACTGGTAGCAAAGGTGGGTGTCAGGGTTCTTCTTCCAAAACACGTCACAGCCACTCTCTGCTCAAAAACAGACTCGTCACCAACAGCCCAAGACTACAAACTCATCAGAAATCCAGTAACTTGAACAATTCAATTAATGACAGTGGCATCCCAGTGGAAGCACGATTATGAATTCCTTTCATGTTCCTTTGTTAGAGAACATATGGAAATAGGGCACTAGCAGAATAAAATGTTGCTCCATATTTAATATAGCTGATAAAATACTCAGGAGTTGATCTGCAGGTGGTGGTGATTTTCACAGCCCTCCTGAAGCCAGCAGAGCTACATTTTAATTTGTGACAGCTGATCCTAAAGCTGAATGTTAAAATATTCAAACTATGAACACCTCACCCAACTTGTAAAGAAGCAGTCATTGGATCTCCTTCTATCTTGTACTCAAGACAATAAACTTACTGTAATTACAAAGTATAAGCAAGGCTGAAAATATCATCTATTGTAATGGTTGCCCAGCTGGTTTTAAGATGCGTTGGAACAAAGAACTGAAACGTAGCTTGAGCAGGGAGGGCTTTTCCAAACCACTTCTGCTGACAGAAGACACTATTTTGCTTATTTATGCAAGAAGCTGGAATACCCATGGAGATTATACATCCAAAATATTTCTCATAGTAAGTATTTTTAAGGCTATTGCTTCCATGTGTTTTAGGCCAAAGACATGTGCAAGTATGCAGAGAAGAAAAGGAATGTGCAAGATGTAATGCAGTCAAAAGCAAAACGTGACATTGCAAGGGCAACCCTTACTTTACATGCTTCAGAGATGCTCTCTATCTATCACTGGGACAGAGAAGACAGAGCTTTAGCTGCAGGGTAAGGCCAGTGGGCTGCGTGGAATAACATCCTTTCGCTCACGCTCCCTCTCCACCCCCCACCCCCCCATAATTTTGCTTTTGGGATGAGAACTTGGGTCTCCAAAGGCCAAACATGATAAATTATGATGAAAATTGCTAAAGTCTTCTTTTGCGTTTTTAAAAAAGACATTCTCCTTTAATGGAAAGGAATTAACACAAAACAGAGTGTGTCTTAGAATTACTAATAAAGAGCAAAGATATTCTTGGGAGGTGGGGGGAAACAGAAGACAAACACCACCTTACCAGCATTTGGGCAAAACCCCCATTTTTCATCTTGTTCATAGTGAGTTGTTGTGGCACACCAGTCAAATTCCTTTCCATCTCTCGTACACTCATAATACCACTTGTTGTTATATTTAAATGGAAAAATGCACGGCAAACCAAAGGAATTTCCCAGCAAGGTGTATGTTTCTGGAATAAACAAAATGCAGAGATTAAAAGAATGCAGACCACAGAAATGTCTTCACCCCCGTATTTTGTTATTCCCATTTTTAGCAGCAGTGATAAGAAGCAAATTGTCTAAAGTTATTTTCTAATTTCAATTTATAATTGATAACACAGCATTACAGGTATGAGCTGCATAACTTCAGTAAACAGAATTTGGAAATGATAGGTTTATGAAGTTTGTCTCCGTGGATCAAGGCACATTCTCATAACTTAGTGTAACTGGGAAAAAAACCCAAACAAAACAGAAAACCCCACAACAAAACTACCACCACAAAAAACCCAAAACCAAACAACCAAAGCCAAAACCTGAACAATTAACATCTAAAATCTGCACTTACATTTCAGAACTACACAAAACAATAGCTAGCAGAATCAGTACACATTCAGATGCAAACTCTACCTCTTTTTTACTTGTCTTTTTTTTTTTACTTATTAGTCTATGACAGATAAACAATTTAGCATTATTCATTATTTCCCCCGCTCCTCCCACTCTTTATAAAGTGGATTTCTAACATTTTTTCCATTCTCTTTGTCATTCTATGGGAAAGGAAATGTGAAAGACAAAGGAATATTAAATAAACTTTTTTTTTTTAAGTTTTTAATACCATGGGGAATAATATCTAGCTAAAGAACTGATGTTATACACATCTGTTGTCACAATCAATTAATGCCTTACAAAATATTTTCAATATTTTCCTATTGTACTTTGAGTACCAAAACATGAAGACAATTCAGTGTAACTGAAAGCTGTAAAAGCTTTACCTCAGTGAGTGTCTCCTTAACCTCAGAGCTTCTACAAAAGGTCAAAGAACCACAATCACACTTTGAAGGAAACTGTTTGTCTGTTTGTCAAAGATCCCATGTTGATAGTTTAAAGATCAAAGTCCTTCAACTACAGAATCAGTACATACTGCCAGGTTCTTAGAGGTTTCCAGAGTTAATGACTCGATGAGCACATATAGAAAAGCAGTTTACACACTGTAAATCCCCTTTAAAGCCTTCTGATATGAACAGATGCTACAAAGAACATGGGTATATAAAAAAAACAAATAATAAATCAGGATTGCCTCTCTATCTGCCCACTACCATGCTGCTAGCTACAGAGGTGCAAGGGATTATCTCAGTCCTGGTAAGAAACCAAATTCATCAGCTATAAACCTCTCACCACATTTATACACATTTTTTTCTTTAAAGATGCTCCCCCCAGCCTCATGCTCTAACAGCCTGGTTTGCATTTACATGTGCATAGGAGGAGGAAAATAGAAGTTAGAGTTGCAAGAGATTTTGCCAATGCAATCAATTACTTTGATCCTGAAACTAGGCTAGAAGCACCTGTCTAAGGCTGATCCTCTTCTCCCAGATGTTGCAGTACTAGGGCTAAAGCAGGTCTACATTCATCTCCCTATGTGTACACAGCAAATATATAAGACTTTTTGTGGGCTTAAATATTTTCTGTCTGGTCTCAATATAAATTCTACCAGGTTTTAAAGAAGAATTTGGATGCTACAGTGCTTTATCAGGTATCACAGGTCCCAAAGGAAGGACTTTGCTGAAAGCAGAGTCCAAGCCCAGCTACACCTCCAGAGGAAAACACTGAGACCAGATATGCAACCCAAACACCTAGCTTAAATTGGGAGAATAAACAGCTCCAGTCTGAGACACACTGTGCAAATATTAGGTCTTTCCTTCTACAGAAATGCCGATGAAGGGGTCAAAGAACAGTCTGTTGCTGTTTGTAGTCAATGGGTTTATCTTAGTCTTTATACCTGGAAAACTGTTCAGGTCTGCAGACCCAGATCTTGACATACATTCCTAGGCCTTTGCTAGCTGTACAGCAGGATTAATCAAAAGCCTGATCTCTGCTCCAAAGTTTGGCACGTTCAGAGTCCAGGTGCTGAACGCTGCAAACATTCAGTTCAAGCACACTGTCATCACAGAGTGATTTTCAGTGATGGGAATTCCAAACACTTTGTTATCTCTCTCTGGGTTTATCTGATAAAGAAATCTGCAGAACAGGCAACTACAAATCCTTAGTTCCTCTTTTATTTTATGAGGAATTTGAAATGAGCATTTCTTGATTTGCAAGGATACTAGTGCTTTTTTTTGGTTCACATAACAGATAAATGGTGGTATGCTCACCTCAACCATTGCATATAAAATCACAATAGAGATTACAAGCACTTGACATTGCTTCAAAAGAACTTTTGAAAACTATACCCATCTACATTTCTATGACAAGATTTTACTTTTACCTTGAAATGGGTGTTCACAGAGGTCTTCATCATAGGACATATACTGTTTCCACTGATCAGTAGATTTTTTTTTGGCCACAATACGTTTGCTGTTTTCAACAGCTAATTTGTACTCCGATACACCAACTAATGCTTTTCCATCACAATTCCACCATAACGAGTATTGAGTTGAATCACATTCAAGCATACTTAACGGCTGTTCTGGCCTACTGACGTTCAGTCCCAGACAGGTACTTCTGCCTATGTTGAAAAGACGGCGATTGGATACCCATTTCCATAACATGTCTTTTGAGAGTTGATCGCAGTCTTCCAGAATGAGGCCAGGGGTGTCCACTTTAATGCATAAGTTGGAATCTTCATTTTGGATAATAAATATCCCTTTATCTGTAGGAAATAAAGAAAATACAATATGTTTCGGTCTGTAGAACATTGCAATTGATCAAATAGTATCAAAAGACAAAAATTTTAATTGAAGCTATTTAGGAAAAAAACCAAAAATATCCATCAGAATAACTGGCACTTCACAAAATAAGAGTGCTGGTCTAAATACACTGCCACGTGCGGTTTTAACATGTGGACCACTTGCAAGATCACAAAAATAAAGCTAGATAGTATTTCTCAAGTTGGATAGCCAAAAAAAGGGGATGCCCAGAAACATCAGTCCTATTCAAAGAAAGAAAATCAGAACGCTGGTCACCAAGAAACACCCAGTAATGGAGTACAGGTTTATGCGTTACAAGAAGTCATACTGTATATTGTAAAATAATTCTCAAGGAGGGGGATTACAGAGTGCAACTAAAGTGAAAGCTAAAAAGTTTAAGGCTGATATTGCCATATTCTCTGCTATATTCATTCTTCGCCCTCTGCAACTAAAGAGGCAGCAAGTATACAGAAAGGGCAGGATTTACCTATATCACATGAGCTGGTGGCTAAGGGTTAGAGCATCCCCTCCCTACCACGGACCACAGCAGATGTTGTGGCGTAAGCCTGACATCCCAGCTTTCTTGGAATCATGCAGAAATTCATTGAATTATGTGACATCACATTATAAGTATGTGAAAAAAAGCCAACTGTTTAATGTCTTGGGAGCAAATGTTTAACTGAGCATATAGACTGAAAAAAATGAGGGCAGCTGAGGAACTGGAAATCAGCAAAATATAAACCTGCAACAGCTCATCTATTTTATTCACCCTGAAATCCAGTGGCAATTAACCCATGGTGTTCCTCTCCCATTATATGTGAGATATTTATTTTATGCCTCAGGAGATTATGTGCTGAAAACCTGAGCAGCACTTCCATTTTACCTTGAAATCTCACAGTGATGATTTCTGCCACGTGTGCTTTCTAGCTACTGTAATTCACTATACCTAACATTCTGAAGCAGTAACTGTAATTAAAAAAACCCAAACCCTCTCAAACTGACAGAGCCAACACCTAAAATATAAGATGCAGAGGTCCATCCAGAGGCTATCTCTGGATTTAGTACATACAGTTTAGGTGCAGCTCTAGAAAAGAAGGATTTTTTTCAAGAAGCAGCGGGACAGTGCTGTAACAGACAGACAGGAGATAGCTCACCAATAAGATGCACACACAACAAGCAGAACAAAGAGGATATAAATTATAGAGGTTTTTGCTTACAGATTCTGCACAAAGCACATCAAGAAGTCTGATTTACAAAGAGGACAGTCAAATGGCAGATAGTATCACTGGTAGCAGGGGCTGCTTTCCACATAGCTATAGACACTGGTAGCTTGCAACGATGTAGGAAGCAGGGACAAGCCTTCCTGACTGGCAGCAGGTGAGAACTGAACTGTTATATGCAATCACAGCTGTCTTGCATTAAGTCCTTAACCCTTTGGGGCTGAGCAAGATTCCTTTAATCACTGTATCTCTACAGTTCTTAGGTGTCTAAGCTCACTGAAAAACCATCAGACAACACTCTGTGCCAGATACACTTTGCTTGTCTGGCCCTTTGCCTTTGAGTTTTCAAAGTTGTGAAAGTTGTACAGTTTGTGCTGGTTTCATCCTTCTTATCCAACCCAGTCCTCCATGGGCAACACAGGCATCTGTATCTATGTGTCTGGAAAGGGTTTCTGTCTCTCACGCTAGGGTATGTCTTTCTCACAGCGGTCTTATCTTGGTTAGCCAAGAAAATACACTGTTCGTTTGGTAGATAAGTGGAAGCTGTGATGTTGTTAGCAGCAGTAAACACTGATTAATGAGGTTAATTCACTGTGATATGGGGATTCACAAATTAACTTCTTATGCAAACTTCCAATCTACCTCCACCTCAACAGCATACAGCAACTCCCAGGCAGCAGCTTCCTGGGAATGGAGGGAGCAACACTGTCAACCCAAAGATGAAGGATTCTCAACCTCTGAATGCTCTTGAGAGTTGCAAGGACTCCTAAGAAAAGATAAGGGTCTTACACACTACACAAATAACTCCACTGGATGATCTCTGTGAATAAGACATGCTTCCCTTCTTCAGTCTACAGCAACTTATGCCAAGAACGGCCAGACTATAACTCTTAAGCCACACAGCCCCCTTCCAAATGTGGTTTCTGCTCCCCAACTAGAAGATGCAATTAGCAAGAGAGCCATTCTGGCCCGAGGACTGCCAGGTAACTGCCAGCTCAAGGGAGAAATGAGAGATGGCAGATTCAGTGGCAGCTCCGTGGGCCCCAGCTCAGTCCTCTTAAGTGGGGCAGTGAGACAACTGGAGCAGCTCACAGCCTTCAGAACACCTTCAGAGCTTCCCTTCTTTCAGCTCGTGAAGCTATGCCATCCGTTTTACAGGTGCTCTCACTAGAGGGTTTTGTTTACAAAGCCCCTGGGTCTGGGAGGATCCTGTGCCCAAAGTCTTGCACATGAAGAGCTGCCAGAGGCTTTATAAACTTGCAAGCCCCCGAGGACCCAAGGAGAAAAAAGAAAAGATAGCTTATACTTTAGATATTGACAGGCTGGAGAGACACTGTCAGTTGGAAACAGCCAGCTTCTCCTACATCCAGGTCCCTCCATAAACCAACAAGATGACAAGAAACAAACTCACAGAACTGAGCCATCAAGCTGATGCAAAGCCACACACAAAGAACTAACAGCAGACCAGAAGCTCCAAGATCCTGTTTACTTAGGTTCAACACATTGAATAAATGGCTCTAACAAAACTAGGAGAACAAGATATCTTCATTTCCTTCCTCCTCACCTCCCACTTCCTTCCCTCTCAAACATCAGTGATGATTGCTTATGTGGCAATAGAGAAAATAACTGGAATTTATTGGAAATGAGAAAAAAGTAATCTGTATTGCCTCCGAGTGCAAAGAAATCAATGGGCAGCGTAACAAGCAGGGAGGATGAAAACGGTACCGGGTCCGCGCAAGGGCAGAACCACCCGTCGGCCCCTCATGCTTCCAGACCACTTCACCCCAGTGCGGAGTGACACCTCCACCCTGCCCAAGCCCTCCTGGCCGGGGTCAGGCGGACCCCAGCAAGAGTCTCCCCCCAGCTTTGACGCCTCCTGGCTCCCCACTGTGCTCAGGCCGGCGGGCTACCCATGGCTGCAAGCCCGGCACGGACAGACGGGGCTGAGAGGAGTCCGGGGGGTGAACGACTCAGCCCGGCGCCGCTGCAAGACCTATAGCGCCCCCCGACCCG